TTTTTTGGGGGGGATGCTGTTCAATCCATAGCAATAATTGCACTAACTCATTCATGTTGTTGTTGTTGTTAACTGCTGTCGAGTAGAGTCGGTTCCTACCCACAGTGACCCTACTTAGAGTTTCTGCTGACCTTGCAGTTCAAACTGACCTTGTATTAACCCACAACGCCACACCAGGACTCTGAAATTTATTCATAGTGGGCAGTAAAGAATTCAAGAGTGCCCTATTATTCCTATAGCCCTAAGTGAGGATGGCTGGCTCCTTTGAGCTCAGACCAGATGAGCTTGGATGGCTTTGATGAGAGGATTCATAGAAAATGCTTAGTGCTGTGTCTCAGTGTCTGGCACATAGTAAACAAAAGACAGCTGCCTTCATCACATCCATCTTTATTTTTACTGCTGGCACCATCAGTAACATTATCACTGGGTTATTTTGATGATCACATGAGATAATTTATTATCAACCATTATAAAATTGTTAGTTAGCATTCAACAGAAATTAATATTTTTATAAATTCTCTGACTAGAATCCATTTTCAATTTTTATGTAGAATATATTTTTCTAGGAAAAACTGTAGCTTATGTATGAATGATGTAAGGGGATTTATAAGAGAGCTTAGACTCCTGGTGTGGAGCTGTAGGATGAGCTGGACTTTTAGCTTTTAGGAAAACAATTCCTTACTTCTGGACTGCTAACCTTAAGGTTCAAACCAACCAGCCACTCTTGGAACCCCTATACAGGGTCGCTGTAAGTTGGAACTACTTGATGATACTTAACAGCAACATAAAAGAACCAGGGGTCCTGGTGTAGTGCTGGAGGGTATGCACTGGACTGCTGACTGCAGGTGGGCTGTAAAGAACCCCCAGCCATGCCCTTGGTAATCCTATATATTGTCGCTGGGAGCTGGACCTGACTTACTGGCACTCAACAACGACATAAGCGAACCATAAACAAAGCCTAACTACTTAAATTCCTGCAGCTGTTTCTAGGTTCAGCACATTGGTTTTATCCAGTGAAGACTTTACAATTAAATGTTCCTTTTAAGCGTCACTTGTTTTATTCCATCCTCTACGGACTCCTGGTGGGATGTTGTAAGATCAGCACTGGACTGCAGACCATAAGGTCAGCAGTTCAAACCCACCAGCTGCTTCTCGGAAACCCTGTACAGAATTGCTCTGAGTTGGAACTGACTTGATGGCTTGTAACCATCATCACCATGTCTAGAAGAGAGCACCATAAACACTGTAATGGTACAGAAATGGTTTCATCTCACCAAGTCAATGAAATAAGTTATATTTGCTTCTGAGACATTTTATTTCCAATAAATAGTTGGAGTTTCCAAACTTTTAGGGGCTCATACCCTTCTGGGACATGAACCAGATGATGCAAATTATTTTCTTCTGTTTTTCTTCCCTACCCCCTCCCCTCTATAGTAACCTGCAGCTCTTCATAGCCACCTTCTTAAAGAAGAATATAACATACACAGTATTTTCAAGTCAACTTTAATACAACCACACCAGAAAAGTTAGAGATAAATAATTTGCAAAGAAACTATTCTGTATGCCCAGCTTGATACATACAAAGAAAGAAATGATGGTGAAACATTTGTATGTTCCTTGTTGCACAGAAACTTCTTTGTGCAAACTGGGATCAGTAGAATCCCAATTTTAGTGAACAAAAAAGGAAGAGTGACTCATTTCTGGATTGACTAGCTAGTTTTCTTGAAACGCTCTTAAAATATCATGAGATATTCTGAGCTCACATCTTTCATGGAAAAAATCTCTTGCTGTGTTACTTCACTGCCCTGATACGGTATTAATCTCTAATGACACCAAATTATTCCATATCCTTTTACCTAGTTCTATACTCCATTTCCTTGTAAATTGTTAAGTACAGTTAAGTACTGCTTTTCATTACGATACATCCAGATTCTGTTAGAGACCGAAGTCTCTGAATTTAGACTACATATCTACATTTCCATGCTGTGGGTTAATGTGCCAGACTGCAAAGCCATTTGAACTACAAGGCTGATGGTTCAAGCTTACCAGTCACACCTCGGAAACCCAATACAGGGTCGCTGTGGGTCGGAACCGACTCGACGGCACACAACAACAACAACAATCCTGGTCCTGATATCCTCTCCTGTCCTGTTTCTCCAAATTCAAAGAATCTAGTTTTGAAAGAAGGGTACTAACAGTCAAAACCAAGAAATACAGCGTACCATGTAAAGGAGCATGGGAAGGTTCTGTCTAAGCTGCCAGGCTCCAGTAACTTCCTTTTTTAGATTTACTTAGGATGTTCTCAATGGCTAGTACAAGATAGGTTTAGCATCCATAGGACGGAAATTGACTGTAACACAGATCGTATGTCCTTCCAAACAAAATCTATAAAAAGAACTAACAAACTTTTAAAAGCAAAGTACTAACCAAGCTAACTTCTTTGATTTTTGTGTTTTGTTTTGTTTTTTCCTTGAGAGAAAGAGGATGCGAGGAGGAGAGAGAAGTCACATAAACATCTTATGATGTGATGAGCAAGAATGGAGGTGGTAGCTTTTATGTAATGCTTTTAGCAATACAATTCCCTACTTCTTCCCTTTGCAATTATACAACCTGTCGATTTTCTAAAGTAAATCCCAAAGCATACTATCAGGAGGGACCTGTCCCTGGAGAAGGCTATCATGTTTGGTAAGACAGAGGGTTCAGAGAAAAAGAGGAAGAACCCCCAGTGAGATGATTGGCACCGTGGCAGCTACAATAGGTGCAGGCTTAGCAAAGATTGTGAGGTTGGCTCAGGACCAGCAGTGTCCTGTGCATAGGGTCTCTCTCCGTGAGTCAATGCCAACTTGATGGCACCGAACAACAAACAACAACAAAGCATTCAAATCTCATAAAAGCAGCCATATGCGATTTCCTTTTACCTCGTTCTTATATTTTTTTCTGTTGTCTTCATTTAAAAATTTTATATGTGGTATCTGGAATTTTGTCTGGGCTCTGTAGGATCAGAAGGAGTTTGCAGAACTTGGTGAGGGGTTAATGAGAACATGGAAGGAAATAACATGTCAAGGAAATAAGGGGTCACAGCTAGTATTTCTTCGTAAGCTGAGTATGAGAGAAGTGATAAGGGACAGACTAGCAGGGAGTTTGGTATCAGCTTGGGTAGTGTGTTATATATACGACAAGCCAGAGAATATGGATTTTGATCCTGTGTAGGATTTTTACAAGGTAAGTGTCTGATCACATCTGTGAAAGCAGTATGCAAGTTAGGATGTTGTTAAGTGCCCTCAATTTGGTTCCACCCCAAAGTGGTTCTGTGTATGTTTCTGAGGAGCATCTGGTGAGCTTGAACTGCCAATCTTGCATTTCAAACGGACTTTGCATTCCAGCACATTAACCCACAGTGCCATAGGATACAGGGTAAAAATACAGAAAAAAGAGAGGTTTTTCCCTTTTGTATTATGAGGACATTAGATCATAATTAGCTGAGAAGAGAACTTATTAAAACAATAGAGAAATAGCAGGAATAAAACATAAATCACAGAGGTAAGTATAAAAACAAAAACCAACAACAACAAAAACACCCCAGAATGAACCTGCTTGTGACCTAGGCTATCGATCAACAGGGAATGACCATTAATTTTAGTATTTTTTAAAGTTTGGGACAGGCATTTCAGAAAACAGGATTACCAGATAAAATATAAGAAGCCCAATTACATATGAATTTCAAGTAAATTATATATATATCTTAATTATGTCCTATATATTGCACAATAGTCATGGTGTGGCACTGTGGGTTAATGCACTGGACTGCAAAGTCAGTTTGAAATGATAGGTCGGCAGTTCAAGCTCAGCAGCCACTCCTTAGAAACTTAGTATGGGGTCGCTGTGGGTCTAAACCGACTCAACAGCACTTAACAACAACAATATACTGCATGGGAGTCCTGGTGTGGCGCTGTGGGCTAATGCGTCAGACTGCAAAGTTATTTGATCTGTAAGGTCGGTGGTTCAAGCTTACCAGCTGCTCCTCAGAAACCCTATACAGGTTTGCTGTGGCTTGGAACAAACTCAGTGGCACTTAAGAACAACAAAATATATTTTATGAGACAAATTTACATCAAGAAATTCTTCATTGTTTATCTGAAATTCAAATCTAACTCTGAGGGTCCTATTTTTATTTGCTAAATCTGACAATGGTGGTTGGTGGTTATGTCCCGTGGAGTTGGTTCCTACTCATAGTGACCCTGTATAGGGCTTCTGAAGTTGTAAATTTTTACGGGAGCAAAAAGCCTCATCTTTCTTCTGCAGAACAACTGGTAGTTTCAGTCTACTAACCTTGAGGTTAGCAGCCTGACAGATAACCACTACTCTACTAGAGCTCCTTAAACCTGGCAATAATGGTATGATAAAAAGGCTATGTAGAGGTCTGAGCAAACTCTATGATAATGCTTTGCTAGGAGGTATTGTGAAGCATTTTATAGAACATGAGGAAAACCTTTCAGGAAGTCTTTTATATATTTAAGTGACCAATAGGGACTTCACCTTATGAAACAGTACAATTATTTGGTAAAGAAAAGTAGGGTAATAAAGTTAAACTATAAAGGTAAAGTCTAAACCACTAATAGAGTTGTGGGACCTATCTAATACTCAGCACAGCTAGATGGACAATGGCTTATTTATTCAAACAAACACAGCGATCATCCAGTGTGCTTTATCAAATGGGGACAATGCTGGGCTCTCATTGTTTTTATACCCTTGATAACACACAGGGGTCCCTGTGTCCTTACTCCTGTTTTGTTTTTTTATTTTATTGAGGCTGTAAAAACACTACAAAACCCCAACAATAAACACTCTTCAGAGAATGTGAGGTCATAGTCACATGACCTCACAGGGAGTCAGATCTTTGGAAGCCAGAGTAGCTCAACAGACCCTTCAGTTGTGTGGTGGAGAATGCTGTGAAGGGGTTTGAAGAGCAAGTATGGCCCAGGTGCGCCCAAGACTCCATGATGGGTTCTTCCTGCCATCTGTGTGGGTGTTGGTGAGTGTGTTCAGCCAATGTTTTGCAAGGGTTTCCAACTTAAACTGAGAAATGTGGTCAGTGTACTTGTTCAAGTAACTTTGTAAGCCATGTAATTGGGCAGAATGAAGCCTTCTAAGAATGGAGGTATTTCTCAATTCTTTCTTTATTCCTTATTTTCTCCTATTACTGGATCTCCCCCCATTCCTTTGCCTCCCAAGAACATCTGCAGAAGACTAATGACAATACATCTTAAAATCCCCTTCTAGTGATTGTGAGAAAATGAGGTTAAATAGTCAGGGCTTAGTAAGATAACAGAAAGGGGAGGCCAAAGAATATTTGAAATAGGAGAAATAAGAATGTTTCTAACCACTAACTTTTTTTTCATATCTGTTCATTAAGATAAATCTCTTCTGTTTGAATAAAATCATTGCAGTGCTAGTTATCTAGTACATTTGCATTATTTGCATGGAATGATTAAATATATGCCATGGGTATGCTCTGAGAATAGTGAAGAGTAAGTGCCATTTTAAATGAGAAGAACATCTTTTTTTTTGACATTTGCTTGTCTACATGGTAAAATTAAACTAAGCGCACTGCTGTTGAGTTGATTTTGACCCATCATGACCCTATAGGATGGAGTAGACTTGCCTGATAGTGTTTCTAGGCTGTAATCTTTATGTGTCATCTTTTCTGCCTGCTGAGCAGCTAAATGTAATCACTGACTTCTAACCCTAACTCATACCCTAACTTCAATCCTAAATATCTGTCTGACCTTAACCATACCCTAACACTAGGTCAAATCTAACTTTAACCATAGCCCTGTTGTTAAGTGCTGTGGAGTTGGTCCCACTCACAGGGGCCTTATCATAGAGTTTCCAACTAGTAGTAGCCAGTGGATTTGAACCATCTTGCAGTTGAAACCAACCTTAAGATACAGTGCTTATCCTAACCATGACCCCAGATCTACCCTAGCTCTAGCCCAAGATGTAAAATTGTCTGAAACCTTTAACATTTTTCTAATCCTTAATCTTATTCTTAGCCTAACCCTAATCTTAGATATATAATCCAGACAGCTGACCTTTCAATTCACAACCTAGTGCTTGACCACTGAGTCACCAAGCCTCCTTCATAGTTATTATATAGAAGAAGAGAATGCATAGCAATACAACTCCAGGATTTTACTATTTTTATGCTATTTACTATAGTTATAAAAATTACTTGATTGTAAATGATAAAGTTCTTAGAGTGAATATTTTAAATGGAGTCATGGTGTGATGCTGTAAGATAAGCACTGGACTGCTAACCTCTTGGTTGGAGGTTCAAATCCACCAGCAGCTTCTTGGAAAACCCTATCAGGGCTGCTAATGAGTCTTAACCAACTCCACGGAACCCGTTCCATGGTACTTAATAACAGCACCCCATCATCACACAGGAAAACACAAAGTAACTGAATTACTATTTAAATTTCTTCTATGATTTTACTTATGCAAGTAGGTTTGCTTGATAGGATATTTACATATTCTGTGTTCTAATAGAATATCATATTTGCACTTTCCAACTGACTGATAAGAAGTATACAAAGGAAAGCTTAGGATGATAAAAAAAAATCAATACATTAGTATGAATACTACATCATAATGAAGCTATTTATTTTAATGGATGACTATTTCTGTTGGAGAATTGTTTAAGGTGGCTTGTAATTAAGGTTACCTTACATCCTGGTTTGCTTGGTTCAGTCTCAGTTAATGACTATTGTTCTTTGATTAAGCATCTGACTCAAAGACTTTTTTTTTTTTTTTTTTAAAATGCAGTACCAATTGTTGTTATTGTTCAGTGTCCTAGAGTCTGTTCTGACACACAGTGACCCTGTTTAAGGTTTGTGAGGAGCAGTCCAGTGCTGATCCTCCAGCACTATATTAAAATAAGAGAGCATAGATTTGATAGGCTTCTACTTTGTACTTCCAGCTTCTATCATGGGCTCATCTGAGAATGTGGAAACGTGTGAGTTAGTATGGAGAGTTAGCAGAGTTCCCAGGAAGTTGAATATAAAAGAGAGTCTAGGATAATTAGTCTCAAGGACAGCATGTGGTGCACTTGCTGATAAAAATGTGCTGAATTCTGGTGGTTCTGTGGTTTAGATGTTGGGCTGCTAACCACAAGGTTTGTGGTTCAAACCCACCAGCTGCTCCATGGGAGAAAGACATATGCTCCCATAAATATCTACAGTTTGGGAAACCCTGTGTAAGTTTCTTATGAGTTGGAATTGACTCAGTGGTAATGGTTTTGTTTTTTTGTGGCTCTGTGGGATAAAGCACTGGACCACAAGTTCTGTTTGAACTACAAGGTTGGTGGTTCAAACACACCATTTGTTCCATGGAAACCCTATGCAGGGTTGTTGTGAGTCGGAATTGACTCAAGGGCACTTAACAACAGCAACAAAATACCTTCAGAGGAGTCCTGGTGTGGCGCTGTGGGCTAATGCGCTGGATTGCAAAGTTGGTTTGAACCTCAAGGATGGTGGTTCAAGCTCACAAACTGCTCCTTGGAAACCCTACTGTAGCTATGGGTAGGAACCAACTTGATGGCATTTAACAGCAGCAACAATACTTTCAAATCTGGTGGAAGTTAGAGAAGTATTAGATCATCAGCTGCGCTGGGCTCTTTGGCATACTAGCTGGTTGTTCAGTAGCCCAAGCTTCTTTCTGGGTGATACCCACTTAGTTGGTTGATCCATGAGAAACAGAGCATTACAGTTTGATATATATGACATAAGTGGTGAAATAGAGAGACCCATCAGTTTTCTAAATGTATTTGTTCTTGCTACAGTATTTTTTAATTTACTACAACTGTAAAAGGTCAGCAATTCAAACCTACCAGCAGCTCCTTGTAAACCCAATACAGAGTTGTTGTGAGTTGGAACTGCTTTCACAGCACACAGCAACAATAATGCTGTTTTGCTTTGTGACAATTAAAATTATATAATGATTTTTATCATCCCTGCCTTCTTTTAAGAATGTCTTGGTTTAAATGATAAACAGTTGCTGTACTTATAAATTACGCCAAGTTAAAGTAGTAAAAGGCAGAGCAAGGGCTTGCAACCTGTCATACACAGCCTACCTAAAATGGTTTTTACATGTTTAAAAAATTGTGCAGTTGGCCCAGAACTGGGCAGTGTTTCATTAGGTTGTGCATAGAGTTGCTATGAGTCAGTACTGAGTTGATGGCATCCAACAACAACAACAAAGAGTTCTGGTGAGGCGCTTTAGGATAAGCACTAGACTGCAAAGATCAGCAGTTCAAACTCACCAGCCATTCATCGGAAACCCTATACGGGTCTCTGTGAGTCAGAACTGACTTGACAGCACTTCATAATATCAATATAACAAGACACTGGAGAAAGATGAGGCTTTCTGCTCCCGTAAAGATATACTGTCTCGGAAATCCTATATGGGATCACTATGAGTTGGCACCAACTCCACGGCACATAACCAGCACCACCAGCACTACGAAGATTTAATGCCTCGGAATCCCTATATGGAGTCACTAACAACAGTGTAACAAGAAATTAGGTGACTTAATTTGGCCCTTTGCAGAAAAATTTTGACCAGCTCTGGTTTAGAGTCTGTGTTGACTGGCACCATGTAAGTGTAGTATTTTATGATGAACATGTCTTTGTTTTACTGTCACGTTAAAATGAATATTTGGCAATTACTATGTCCTGATTGGTTTCAGTATTACAAACACATGATATAATACTTTAGAACATGCCACAGGCTGTCGTTACTAGTGGCCCTTAAAGTGTGATCTATGGACCACTGAATGTTTGCCTGTACCTTTCAGGAGATTTGTGGTATCAAAATTATTTTATAATATTAAGACTTTTTCCTTATTACAGCATGGTTTTGTACTGATGTTACAAAAGTAATCAAGGTATAAATACTGGTACCTTAGCATAGATCAAGGCTGCTGCTGCTGCTGTGTGTCTTGGAGTCGGTTCCGACCCATAGTGACCCTGCACAGGGTTTCCAAGGCTGTAAATCTTTACAGGAGCAGAACGCCTCATCTTTCTCTTGGGGAACAGCTGGTAGTTTTGAACTGCTGACCTTGGCGGTTCACAGCCCGATTCATAACCACTACGCTACAAGAGCTCCTTAGATCAAGGCAGTGTTGCCAAATTGTTACAGTAATCATTGTATTTATTCTTCATGCCATGCACTCAAAGCAAAAACAGAGGCCAATTTTTACCCAAACATGTTTTTGATGAAGCAGGAAAAATGGTTCATTTTCTTAGACTTCAGCCTTTGTGTGCATGTTTCCTGTGTGATGAAATGGGAGGTGTGATTCATAAAGCACTTGTGTTCCTCCTAAGGTATGATGGCTGTCTCGAGGGGAAGCACAAATTTGTTATATGAGTGGCCCGCTAAACCAGTCACCTCCTGTATGGAACACCAATTTGCTTTAAATGAATGACTAGCAGACTAACTAACTAACTGTGGTTACTTAGTATTATTTTAGGAAGACACATGATAATATTGGTTGCTAATGACAAAATTTGAGCTTTTAATGAAAAAATTCAAATTTTGGAAAACTTGTACAAGGGAGTTTCAGAAAGTTCATGGAAAAATAGAACTCAAGATAATGGCATTTTCCCCACAAACATTTTGAGGCCCCTTTGTTTTTACCCCAGGACCCCTAAGCTGGATGGAGTCAAAACAGTTGAGAAATGCTTGTCTAGGTCTTAAATGTGTGTGTAGGCCACTTCTGTTATTTTGAAATATAGTAATTAAACATATTTCTATTAATAATGAGCATAAGCATAATCTCATTAAAAATAATTGTCATTTAGTTGATTTCTGTAATAGTTTTAATATTTGCCTTTTTGCCACACAAGAAAATTCTTTCTTTTTTTTTTTCTATCTTATTTTAACAGCAATGCTGGGGTGAAAAAGACACTGCTAGAAGCTCATTCTGAAATGGGGAGCACTGAAATTCTGGAAAAGGAGACCCCAGAAAGTCTTAGCAATGGTACCAGCAGCAACATAGAAGCAGCCAAAAGGTTGGCCAAACGCCTTTATCAACTAGACAGATTCAAAAGATCGGATGTTGCCAAGCACCTAGGCAAGAAGTATGTTCTGACCCATGACTGGTGTCTGTTAAGTTTTCCTATTTTGTGTGACTATGTATGTAGTTTTGAATCTAATAACCTTGTCTATTCTGCTTTCTTACAGCAATGAATTTAGCAAACTAGTCGCAGAAGAATATCTGAAGTTTTTTGATTTTACAGGAATGACGCTGGATCAGTCTCTCAGGTCTGAGTCAAAACCACTTCTGATTCTTTTGCTTTTTAGATACTGTGCTGAAGTTAGAATCAGATTTCATTTATTTTTGAAACCCACAATTACTTTGTAAACTTGGCACAGTTTGTATTAATGATGTATTCATGACAGCAGAAAATAAGAAATTGAATTGTTTTTATGGAATTACACATGAACCCAAATTCTTTATCTACTGTTAAACCTAAATCTAGGTGACAGTAAAGAATGATGTCAAAGTAAGACTTGAGAAAAACTGGAATGTGGAAATTTGTTTTTTGATTGAAGAATTTTCTTCTATTTTGTTGTAAAGAAATGGTTTATAGACTGTAGAGTTATAAGATGATTTTTCCCCTAAGAATTGGCTTATCATACTAAATTGCTTTTAAGATGATACTTTGGAATTATTGACTCTTAAATGGAATGAAAGTAAATATCAATAATCAGCAGAAAGAGTCTGTGAAACGGATTCAGGATGTATGCATCCTATTTTTGGTTTCTGATGTAGTATATAAGAAATACAAATGCATGTTTACAAAAAATACAAGTTTGATGAGTATAATTTAAATAAATCATTAATTTTCAGTGTAAAAATAAGATTTATTGGGGTTTCTTATATCTAAAATGGTTTATGTTACCCATCTCATGTTTAGGGAATGGAATCTACTTTGCAAAGTGAGCATTTCTGGATATATTTATATAGACGACACTATTATTGTAGCATGCCTATGAGTCAGTAGTGACTCATAATGACCCTGTGTAACAGACTAGAACGGCTCTATAAGATTTTGTAGGTGGTAATGACAACACTTAACAACAACAGCAATATTTTATTACTCACCTGTTGTGGCGCTGTAGGGTAAGAACTGGACCACAAGTTTGGTTTGGTTTGAACCCCAAGGTCTGTGGGTTAAATTCACAAGTCGCACCCTGGAAACCCTCTATAGGGTTACTATGAGTCAGAACCGACTCCGTGGCACTTAACAACAACAACAACAACAGTCTTTTATGGAAACAGATTACCAACTCTCTCTTTGCAGAACTTCTTGGTGAGTTTAAACCTTCAGTCATTTGGGGTTAGCAGCCCAGCACGTAACTGTTGGCACTACCAGCGGAAGTGCAGTTCTGGGTATATTTTCTTTTATTCGTAGAAGTTCAATACATAAGGTTATTTATTCCATTATATCAAGAATAGGGATTAGGATTAAATCCCAATTTCTTTCTCACACAACAAATTAACAATTTAATCTGATAGTAGACAAAATAGAAATAATAAAAAATCTGTTTAATTTTAAGTACAGTAGTGGGCCAGTGGAGATTATAGTGAAAAAAGAAAAACAGGATAAAAAAACCTTGAAGCATACAGAGTTTTACAACCTAATGTCTGTGATTGTGGGCTCAATCTGAAGTAGTTTCTGGTTTTTCTCCTTAAGTAATATTTAAAATGGCTGCTTGATACTTAGTCGTAATAGAGAAAATACCTACCTTCCAAGACTTTCTTGACTTATTGCCTGTATCATTAATATCCTGACATCCTTTCTGTTTGCATTCTTGTGGAACTTAAATGTCAATATAAACTTTTAATGAATTTCTAAATAGCATGAACATGAATCTTAAAAAATAATGAGAATATTTTTATACAATTAGTTTCTGAAGTTTATAAAAATAAAATTTAACAGCCATACATAGTTTTAAAATCTTTAAAAAATCTAACCCCCCCTCTCCCTTTTTTATTTTACTTTTGTAGGTTTTTCTTTAAAGCATTTTCTCTTGTGGGAGAAACTCAAGAACGAGAGAGAGTTTTAATACATTTCTCCAATAGATATTTTTATTGTAATCCAGATACCATTACTTCACAAGGTAATATGATGTCCATGCTTGAATTTCTGATAATAATGATTGTTTTCTTTATTATGAAAGTTACATGCTTATTGTGGAAAATAAAGAAAATTTTAAAGAGGTTAAAATCATCTAATCTCTCTAATTACACTGAGACAACTACATAACAGTTAGTACTTGTTTCTAGTCTGTAGGTATAGTATTTGATGTGAAATTGGAATCATTACAGAGCTTTGATTCCTTTGATCTTTCCCTTTGATTGTGAGCATTTGTTCTATCTATACCATTAAGTTATTATTTGAAAACACATTTGATGACTACATAATCCTCACCCTTTTTTTAATGACCTGTGTCTTCTAATTTCACAGTATGACACTATACTTTCTTTAATTTGCTCATGCTTTGTCACTCTGAGACATTATGTGCAAAGTGTATTAATTATCAATAAAATTTCAGTTTTCTTATTTCTTCTTTCTGACACCTGTGACTTCTGATCTTTTTGATCAGAAAATATAGGTATGCTTAAATGTTGTGATTCGTTTTGGAAAGAAACCCAAATCTCACTAGAAGTTGTGGTGTGTCATGTATCTTCATTTTGTACTGATTATAACAACACTTACCATTGACTTTCCTATATGAATGTAATGAACTATAGAAGTCTGTGTTAATTGTATTGTTTTTCAAAAGCAGTTCTTAAGTACAAAGAGCAGTCCTCTCCATTGAGTTAATTTACAACAATAAAAATTCTAGTGCTTCAAGTTAGGCACACTCAGCTGCAATTAGATAGCCCTTTATAAACAGACAAATGTGGAAATGTGAATCTCAGAGACTAGATATGCAAAAGATCGTAATTATCTCTTAAGTATATGTAATGAACTGGGTAAAGGTATTGATAGACTAAAGTGAATGCTCCTCCACCTCAATGCTGTGTTGTTAGGTGCCCTCTAGTGGACTTGGACTCATAGAACCTCATATGCCATGTTTTATGTACTGTTAACTAACTTTCTGATTATTAAAGTCATATTACTGTCTGTAAACTGGTAACTTGTCTTCCTTTACTCTTTTTTACATTTTTATTAAATTTAGATCAGTTATGCACTCTCTAGTACCTTCATCATTGTCTAGAGGAAGGCATAGAAGAGGGTTGTTTTTACTGGAAGACTTCTAAGGAAGATATTGATGTTCCTTAGTACAATAAGGAAAATGGATGTGTGCATATAACTGGCTGTTCATAAGGTTATTTGAGAGTTGATGCTGATTTTTACAAATAGTTCTGTAAATTTGTTTCAAATTAATCTAGAATTGGTCATAATTAAAATGGAGCTGGAGTACTGCTTTTAGGCATCCTTTTATAGTCCTTAGCAACAAAATTACCTGCTATACTAACACTATGATACAGTCATAGTCCCTTAATGTACATGAAAAATAATCATAAGTAATTTATAACCTGAGAAATTTGAACAGGCCTTTCTATCCATGTGGCATAAGTTAGTAAGATTTTTACCACATCCAGAACTATTACTGTCAACTATACATAGATTGATGGTTAGCAGAGAATGAATGCTTAGATTTGGAAACAACAAAATTAAATCTTGTTTCCTTTTCCTATGTTTATAAAGAGTAATGTCTCCATTTGAGACAATCCTTCTGCTATGTGTAACCTCTTTTCCCCCTGAATATGTCATTTTTGAGCTTTACAAAAATAATTTCATGTTTCTTTTTTTGTCTGATTCATAGTTATCTTAGACAAAGTATCCAACCTAAATGTTGCCTTTTAAGAATGACATGAAAGAAGACAACTGTTGCCATGTGTATATTTTTCATCAGAAGTAATACCTGAGCTATAAATAGTAAAAAACTCTAATTTTGAGTTTCTTAAACTTTACTTCATTCCCAATTCACTTTCCTTCCAGAAAAAAAAAAACAAAACACTATTAAATAATTCATAATTAATTTCCATGTCTAGTTTTAGGAAACTCAAAAAATATATAAACATGTAAAAATTATAATATTGCTACCCAAATATTATCTGTTGATATCTTGATGTATACTCTTCTAGTTGGATATTTAAATGAAATCATGCTGCACATAATGTATTTTTCATATAGTAATTTTCCTTGAAATATCTGTCTTGTATCAACATGCATACTTTGATAGATTTTTTTAATGACTTCACAGAATGAAATAGTGTTTGGGGAGGGTCATTTATCCCCTGTTGTGAGCAAAGCTTCTCTGTATCTCTTTGACCATTGTGTAGATCTTTGATTATTTCCTTAGTGAAATGCCTTAGAAGTGGATTTGCTGTGTTAAAGGACATCCCTATGTACTGTCAAATTGTCCTCCAGAGAGGTACAACAGCTTTGTCACTGGCAAGGTCCAGCTCTGTGCATTAAAGTCCTTGTAGTAATCTTTTGTCATATATTAGAATTTATCCAAAATGAGCATGGCTGTGCCTACAAGACAAGTGTTTCATATTAATCAGTTCGTAAAATGTAAATTTTATTGATAATAATGGGAGCATATATGTTAGTCCAGTAGCAAACCGTGAATTAAAGTTTTCTATCCCCTTCTCCTCCTTTAGATGGAGTCCACTGCCTCACCTGTGCAATGATGCTTCTTAACACCGATCTGCATGGCCATGTAAGTCTAGGTTTTTGTGATGTTGCCCTTTTTTGTGACAGAAATCCAAAAATGTCTTGAACTTGTCTTTGCTTTTGTGGTTTATACATGTGCATATTCTCTCCTTTCCTCCCTCTGTATTCTGCATGGTTATCATGATGAATATGGTGGTAGTGGTAGTGGTGGTGGCTGTGTGCCGTGGAGTCAGTTCTGACCCATAGCGACCCTATACAGATTTTCCGAGGGCTATAAATCTTTACGGTAGCAGAACACCTCATCTTTCTCCCACAGAACAGCTGCTAATTTCAAACTGCTGACCTTGTGGTTCGCAGTCCAATTTGTAACCACTACGCTACCAGGGCTCCTTATAGCAGCATAAAACAACACTTTACATGTTAGCATAAAGCATCATATTTAAGCGGCTACCATATTGTTATAAGTGCTGGTGTGGTGCTGTAGGATTGACCCTGGAATGCTAACCACAAATGTACCGGCAACTTCTTGTAAACTCTATACAGGGTCGCTATGAATCAAAAGTGACTCTATAGCACTTAATAAAAACCATTATCATTGTTTGTTTTTTTTTTTTTTTTTTTTTTGTAATGCGTGTTCTGTATCTACTTTGTCCACTAGATGGCAGAGACACAGCCTTTATTTGTATTTATTTATTTATTTTTTCTGATTTTTGGTTATGATGAAAAGAAAAGATAATCTGATTATGTCAAAATGGAATGGAAATGGTGAGCATGTAACTAGATCTTAGAACTCAGCCTCTTGTACATTACTCAGCTCACCTGACCTTTTAATAGCTGAAATATCAAACCAATGTAACTTCCTTCTCCTTTTTGATTTAAAATAGCTGATGAACTTTTTTAATGTATAATCATATATTAACATTTTACCTTTCATAAATGTGGAATCTTATGACTTAATTTAAACTGCTTATAATAGTGATATTGAGAATATTGTAATTAACTATAAACAAACTTAAATACAATTCATAGTTTCAAGTTCAATTGCTTTGAACAGAAAATTGGGTTTTTCATGTTACTTGAGCCGCTAAGAGTTGAAATGGACTCTTTGTCACTCAACAGCATCTTGCATAAAATTGTTTGTATAATTTCCAGGAGGAGAATGTAAACCAACTTAGTGGTTTGTAGACATATGTAGTATATTTCCAGGCATGATACAGATTGAAATGTAGATACTTTAAGGGAACATTCTTAGATAATGTTGCTGTTGAGTCAGTTCTGACTCATAGCAACCTTGTATATGATTTCCAAGGAGCAGGGGGTGAGTTTGAACTGCTGACCTTGTGGTTCGCACTGCAGAGCTGATCTACTGTAATACGTCCTGTAGAAATGAGGGTGTTGAGGTTCCCTTAGTATGACACTTTAAATCGATATCAGAATCTTCTTTTTACCCAGCTTTTAAGAGGAGGATTGATGAATGGGTTTTCCTGATCTTTGCTCCTGTCACCAGTGAAGCAAATTTTCACTGCGTTTGTTTTTGTCATCTTGTGATGACAGTTCAACTCTGCCCCCCTCCTTTTTCTCACCACCCTCTGACTCCCCTGAAAGAATTTTGAGTATGTTTATCTACTTAAAGCATTGAAGCCCCAGCTAGGAATTTTTATCAGTTTTTCCATCAGATATTTTGAGGGTCCCTCCATCAATACACATATGATAGTTGTGCATTTATTTGATGCCTGTTCACTTAGAAAATGCACAATGATGGTTGTACTGGGGGATGTTTCTCATAAGCTTTCTGTAGAGATGGTTAGATTTTTAGAGTTTCTGTTATATTCAGGAGTACTGGTGTAGCGCTGTGGGATAAAGGACAGGACCACAAGGATGTTGGAACCATAAGGTTGACAGTACAAACTCACCAGCTGCTACTTGGAAACCCTATAGAAAGTCACTATGACTCAGAACTGACTCTGTGGCACTTAATCAGCAACACTTATATCCTCAGGGGAGTTCTGTGGTTCCCTATGATAAACACTGGGCTATGAACCTCAAATTCCATGGTTCGAACCCTCCAGATGCTCAATGGGAGAAAGATGGGGCTTTCTGTGCTTGCAAAGACTTACAGGCCTCAGAAACCATTTATTGCTATGATTTGGAACTGACTCAAAGGCATTTAACAACAGTTAAGTCCTGAAGGAGCTCTGGTGGAGCTGTGGGATAGACACTAGGCTGTTAATCATAAGGTTACTAGTTCAAACCCACCAGCAGCCTTGTAGGAAAAAGATGAGGCTTTCTGCTGCTTTAAAGATGTATAGTCTCAAAAACCCTATGCACAGTTGCTAATGAGTTGTTATGGACTAGGTGTCAGTGCATTTATTATATCCTGAGTTGTTCTTAAAAAAAGCTACCCTTGCTTTGATAATGTCTTCAATTAAAATTAGTAATCATGATAATTGGAAACCCAGTAGTAAATAAAAGTGTGAGGTATTTTTCCTGTTCACCTGTGGGCATGCCACGGTCTGTTGCCCATAGCTTTAGAACCATAGATCTCAGCCATTTGTGCCTGCCCCTTCTCTAGATGGCTTTAGAGGAATGGCAAGGATACTAGATGAAGCAGCACATTTGTTTTTGATAACTAAGATGGAAGAGATTTAAATGAACATATTAATATTATCTTGAGTTACACTAATCATAAGTAGTTGACAATTGACTCTTTAACAGCAGAATTACTGATTTTAAGGGAGAAAATGGTAAATAACATTAAATCTTTTTGCCATCTTAAAGATCATGCTTTTGGGGATTGGCTTTGTGTGCTAAATACTTAAACGTACCTATGTTCAGGTTTCCTATATTGATTTTGCTTTATCCTAATTTACAGTGCATGCTGTTACAAGTATTTTTGAATGTATAGTAGCTATGATGACACTGCTAACCATATGAAAATGTTTCTCTTATCTTTCTCCTCTGGACTCATTTTTAAAAATAATTTTCCTTCTAGGTGGTAAGTTTTTATCCCTAATTCTGGATGTAGCTCTTCTTGCATCATGATTGCCTGATTTATTGTTAAGTTTCTGCTTTGACTTACTAGCATGGCCTCTTTGAAGTTGAATCATTCGGAAGATAATGAATTGTTTCTGATTTGTGGGCTCCTTGTCACCTTTTCCTCATGCTATGCTTCTTAGTCCATCGCCTCCCGTTTCTTGGTGCAATGCCAGAAAAATCAATCCTCTCGAGGAGTCAACTAATAATAAACCATTTCCTTTCCTTCCTCTCCATTATGTCATAGTAGCAATACAACAGCATGACCTTTCTAAGAATTGCTGACACCAGCCTTTCCTCCTCATGCTTGTACGAGGGGAGAGCTAACTTGAGAGAAGTAACTTCTTTTGGCTGTTTTTCGTGAATCTTTCATTTGGGTTTTGTTTTCTCTATGGAATGATGTATTGACAGTGCATTGGTATAGGCCTTTGGCCTGCTAATTCTTACTAATAAAATGATGGAATGCAAACTAATGGGCATCTCGGATGCACAGCTCAATGTTATATGTGGGAGTACTTTTTAATCTCTTTTTCTAATTTAGTCTTGCATTCAGTACATACTTATGTCATACCGATTCCATTCTAAATTCTGTGCCATTTGGTAAGGATAAGAAATGAGTGAGACATATTCATAAAAGCCCTCTTTGTAGATTTAACCCCTGTGGTGCTGTAGGCTAAGTACTTGACTGTGAGGTCAGTTTGAACCACAAGGTTGGTGGTTCATAATCACCATCCACTCTTCAGAAACCCTATACACAGGGTCACTATGAGTTGGAACGACTCACTGGCATTCAATAATAATAACAAGACAGGTTTAGGGAAATGTGGTGGCTGTATATGGTAAACACTGGACTACAAACCACAAGGTTGGCAGTTTGAGCCCACCAGCCAGTTGTTTTGTGTGAGAAAGATGAAGATTTTTGCTCCTGCAAAGATTTACCTTTGACATTGAAGGCAGGGTTGCTATGAGTTCAGACCAACTTGATAGCACTTAACAACAACACTCAGGTCTAACTAAAGGAATCGTAGTGAGTAACTGAGGTGTGAATGTGAGAAAGTACTAAAAGGGTATTTTAATTACACATTGGAGAATACTTAGACCTCACTAATTAAACTAGAAAAAATCCTGAATTACATATATTATTCCTGCTAGACATTCATTCAGACACTGTTTCATTTGTTAAAAATGGCCATATCCTTTAGTATCCTAATATAGATAGATAATGTATAACTGTAATAATTTATCTTACAGGTGATCGAAGGGCCACTTGCTAAATTCTGAACCCTTTTTGTTTTTAAAAAATCTCTATAAAATGAATAAGTCCTGGCAGCATAGTGGATTACCAGCTAGGCTGTTAACTGCAAGGTCAGTAGTTCAAGCCTACCAGTCTCTCTGAGGGAGAAAGATGAGGCTTTCTGTCCCCATAAAGGTTTACAACTTCAGAAACCATATACAGTGTCACTGTGAATCAGAAATGAGTTGGCAGCACACAACCACCACCATCATAAAGTGTGTTAAGGTTATTAAGCATCTGCACATACAGATGCATTTCCATTAAAATAAACCTAGAGTTCATCTGAATCCCTTTACTATATTAAAACTAAGTTATATCAACAAGGACAGAGTTAAATGTTTTTTAAACTTTGTATTTCATTGAAAATAGTATGAATAAAATGAGTTGGCATGCTAGAATACAATTAAGCCCATTCCTGATTTGGAATAATGGTCAAATGTACCTCTTGTTTACAACTGTCTTTAGATCATTGTTCTTAAAGGAGCCTACTATCCTAGCAGGATTACTACTGCAGCCTGTAGACAGACTATAGTATACTTACTATTCTTAACCTTAGAGCAAGCATTTATAGGATAATCTGGGCATTTAGACATCAGTTATGGAAATGATTTTGTGGAAAAATTATACCATTAAATTTTTTTTAATTTCAAAATAATCATATTATTAACTTGTCAACTGCCTAAAATTTATTAAGCTCCTTATTAAGTACAGTGAATGAG